AGACAGAGTGTACTCTTAGAAAAATCTTTCCTTCTGTGCAGGAGAGGTAACTTACTGCAGCCATGGAGTTGATGCGATCAATGTAGTAATCTGGCCAGCTGGTAGCAAGCTTATTAGGGTCTTCCTGTTCCTGAAACAGAAAATTAAACACGGTTATATGTAGAGCATTATAAAAGGAGGAATCTCTCTCATAAAGGTGGTACTATCTGTGATTCTTCACTGTGCTATCTCCAGTCCACTTCTATATAAGGCACATAGGTTTAGGGCATTTATTACAAACTTTTTCTGAAGATATAAAGCTAGAGCTGTCACTGTGGTGGCAGAGAAGGAATGATCATGCTTTAGCAAGGCTTCCTGAAAGCAGCATTAAGAAACGGATGGAGGCAAGGTTATCCATGTGTACCTGAATGGCAAACCTCCACTCCTTACAATAGGCTGGAAAAACTCCTATTGAAAAGAAAGTTCAGGCATAACAGTTATGTTTTCTGAGTTTTACAATTTGTGGATTGTTTTTTAAATATTTTGCCTTATTTCTGCTAACGAGGCAAAGAAATTCACTAAAAAAGTAGCGTGAATATGTTTGCCACAGAAAAAAAATACAAGCCACAGAATTTGCAAGCAGGTCAAATGACTGCTTCGCTGGTGATCTGATAAACAGTAGAAGTTGAACACTACCTGAAAGCCTGCTGAGGAACAGAACAGCAGCCTGTGAGCTACAGTGAAACCTGTGTTAACCTTCTCTCCAATATCCATCCTACGAATCATTTTAAAATGTCCCTGTGCATTTTCTAGTTCAGTGAACCACAGTCTTCAGTTAACATCCTACCTCTACTTGGCAACCAATATTTGCTGGTTCTTTGGGGTAGTCATTTAAAAAAAGTTTCACTTTTTTAGATATTTTACTTTATTTTGTGACAGGCATATGGACAGATATAATAGGTACCAGTCAAGAAAAAAAAGTAGTCTGGGTTACTAAGAAACTAATCCCTCACTGGAAAAACCCCCCAGAAATTAAAGGTATGTTTATTATCTGGTAGGCAATCTGGATGCCTGGAGTTGCATTAAAGATGGAGGGAGGGATACTGGTGAGACAGACAAGAAGATTATCATCCCAATATCTAAACATTTATTCACATCAATTAGCTCAGCTTATGGAAGATATACAAATTAACATTAAATAGTCAGATCTTTATCAGAATACATCAACATTTTCAACACTGTTAACATACCTATGTTATTTTAAAATAGTTCTGCAAGTCCACAAGTTGGCCCAGCCTCAGAAGCTGCTTATCACTTGCCCAGTTCCTTTCAGGTTAAACAATAACAAACATTGTAATAAATCCATGGTATTATACACCTTCAGATTTTGAACTCATAGCAACAAGAGGGACAGAACTCAGATCCTTTAGCCCCCAAACCACAGAGTATGCTTATTACCAGGGGGGCTGGGGGGGTGCCCCAACCAAGAGGCCTCCAAGCTCTCCTACCTGCTCCTCGGCACATGCCCCAAACCTAGAAATGTTTCAGTGAAGCCACTTTGCTAGAAATGTTCTCAGTGGCCTTCCTCAAGCACACCAGAGACCAAGGTCTCAAGAGTAACTGCAGAGAGAGGCATCAGGGCAGCCACACTGGCATGTTTCCGGGTTTGGATTCGGTAAATAAGAATGGGTAGGGGTATGTAAGCAGATGTTCCACTTAATGGTGTGAAACATGTGAACCAGAGGAGAATCTACATTGGCTGTTCATATTACATTGGCAATGGCAGAAACAACTGTTTTATTTCTGACCAAAAGAGGGCAGAAGTAGACACACACACACACACGTTGTTAAAATACCTATTTAGAAATTTGGGGGGTGGGGGGGAGTGACATTTGCACACACATCCACCCGCAGAAAAGTAAGCTGTCAAAATGGTAAAGAGTACCAGATTTATCCAATGGTTCTCCAATTTATCCCGTAAACGCCACTTCCATTTAATTGGTGTATGTAGGAATACAGACTCTTTTTCCCCAATACAAGTTGGAAAATTTCTCTGCTTTCCTTCTCCCCTATGCACTAATTATAGCAATGAGCTGGTAGAGCCAGATCCATACTTACCAACAGACTCCAGAGCTACATAAGCCACTACCAATAACCAACTAGATTTTGACATCCTGTTTTGTTGCTGAGAGCCTTTTAACACTTTTCTTCCATTAGATGTTAAGTGACAGCAACGCCACTGACAATTAGTTTTTAACAAAGCAGGCCTTAACTTCCTGTGCATTAATCAAAATATGACCTTGTTGAGGGAAAAGCAAAACAAAATCACACACTTGATAAATACACTGTTATTTTTAGAAGATAATCTTATCATGCCCGGAGCTAGCCAAGAAAGAAAGGGATAATATAGAGCATGTTGAATAAAGGTCATTTCACAGGGCACATAACATTACATAGCACCCTATTTGCCAAGGGACATCCAGCCAAGGGACCAATGTGCATTAGAAGGGACGCTGATTTGCCTTACGGAAACTTCCTGTATGTAGAAGTGTGGAAAAGCAAGTGATCGAGAGCTAAGATTGTTTACTGGACACATGTGACATTAAGTCTGGAAAACCCATGTATTCACCTATGTTCCTGGCATCTTCTTTGCCCAGTTGCTGAACCTGGGCTAAGAGCTGCCTGGATCCATCCTTCAAATAAAAATTTAAAACCCCCTAAAATTCATAAAAAGATAAATCAAAAGAGCTAGGATACCACGAAAAATTCTTTTCTTCATCAATACCTGGTGCAGATATGAAGGCTAAGACTTGTCATGATTGTTATGATCAACACTAGACATTTGAAAACAAACACTTTGGAGGCGATACCAGGACACCAACACTGAATTAGCGAAGGCCACACCTACATTTTGTCTTGTGATTGGGCACTTGCCCTCTAGCATCATTCTGTGGCCATCATCCATTGTGGCCCTGTAAGAGTCCCATAATGCTTAATCCTTTGGCTATGACCATCCTGCTACTATTTAGATAGGACTGGGCAATAACCATTTTCAAAACAAATCTGAACCTTTCCTTAAAAGTCAAATCCAAATTGAACCTGAATATTTTTTGAGTTTCAAAAAAATCTTATTTTATTTTCTTCTGGTCCAAATAAAAACCCAAATATTGTAAAATCATACAGAAAGAAAAGCTCAAAAATACTGTGCTCTTTATGGGCTTAATCCAGACAGTGTTGCTTAGGCATTATTCAGAAAAATTCTCATTGGAATCAATGGCTGTCTAGCTTCAGTTCAGAATAAACATGAGGAAGAACTTCAAAATCGGGGTCTATATGTCCAGAATGAATTGCCAGAAACCCAGCTCTTGCAAAACCTACTTTTAAAAACCCAAGAGGTCTGAATAAGTGCTTAGCTTTTAAAGCTGAACAACCTAAACATTGGTTATCCAACTGTTATTTTTAGCCCTGCACCTGGAGAAGATTTTCAGAACATCAGATTCTGAAGTGAGAAACCCAGTTATTGCGCTGTGATTTCCATCACTCTGGTGCAGTAACATAACATATTGCAATTGTAGACCCTGGGGAAAGTGTTTCATTACCCAGATGATGTGAATGTTCTTCTTGGTAAGCAATCATAGCACTGTGTGCTTCCTTGCAGACAGTAAATGAGCCGCCAAAAACTGAAAGCAATTTTTTAAAGTTCTTCAGTGCTCTGAACCTCTAAGAAAACCCTTCAGTGAAAGTTGCTGAGAGGCAGCTTGATGATGATGATGACAAGATTCTTCTCTTGCTTCAGTAGACATAGAAGGAAAAAAAGGAGGTCCTTCTATCCAAAGCCACACAGGGGTCAATAGCTGGAAACAATTACCCATCTGTATGAAGCAAAACATCAGCTGAAGGAATCCATTAAAGCAAAGCCTGCCTTTAGCTCCCTGAATAGTATAAATATTACATTAAAAAAACAGACGTCAGTCTGAGAGCTTTGTAAGCAGCCATATCATTCTTCACCAGAGCAACAGCTATGTAACCACTGTGAAAACAGGGTTCTGATACCATACAAGCTGCAACATAGTCAAGGTATTGTATAGGCTTTGGCACTAACTTGATTGGCTCCAACCCACGACGGAAACTGGGACTTTTAAGTTAACTGACTTCATCTAAAATAGGACTTGATGGAATATGTCAAATATTTGGACAATATGAAGCAATTGCAAACATCAAACCAACAAAATTTGATCCACAGCTCGTTTGATCCTTCAACTGTTTTATGGGACTCTTCGGGAATCAATCCAGTATCCTGTTTTCAAGGGACAGCTGTTCTCACTGGAACACAGAGACTTGGTGGTCTTATCTCCTAGTGGCACAGGGGTCCAGAAAACAGAAATTATTACCGGAAGAGGCATCAGCCCAAACTGGATATCATCTCCCTTGTTGGCAGTCCTTTCCAGCAGTGGTATAACCTGGAGTAGACAAGGAGAGGCACACCCGCAGACCCCATCTAAAGCAAGGGAAGCCAGAAAGGGAGATAGTTCCTCCCCGCCCCACAGGGGTACTGTTGGCCTCTGCTACCTGCCACCTGCTTGCTTATATTGCCAGCCCAGATACCATGTGCCATAGAGCAAAAGACGTTCTGAAAATCATAGTTTTGTAGAGCAGCATTAGGGTTTGCAGCTGCTGCTGGGGGGAAAACTGACCCTCATTTTTTGTTGTTGAAGTCACCTTTTTACCCCGTTCTGGACATGGGCTTCAATGGTAAAAAATGGGAAGAAAGCCTGCTCCCTGCCTCCAGGAGGAAACTCCACTGCCAGTCTAGAAAACTGTAATTCCCAGAACACCCTGCACTCCCGGAGACTTCTCAGCTTCCTGCTCCGTACCCGCACCTGCAATGGAAAAGGCAGGAGAGGAAGGGGACGGGATGCGTGAGAGATGGTTGCCCATGGTAGCATTTTTTCCCCCCACATTATGCCTCAGCTTTCCAGAAAGGCACCCCAGCGCTAGGGCAATTGGTTCTATGTAGGTAGGCAGGATACCAAAACCTGAGAAAGCCCTAAAGACTAAAGTCTTTGCTCATCTGACAGGTGTTTATTTAAGATCACAGGTGAATTATATGGGAAGAAGCATGAGTTAAGCTTAAACAGCTACTGCCTATGC